CAACTGGAACAAGAAAGGAAACAAGAAGTACAAATGGAAAACATTAGTAAATTTAAAAGTGAATTAGATACGTTAAAGAACGATTTGTTGTGTGTTACACAAGGAGGATACATTGATCATCGACTTAATCAGCCCCAGACAATGGCAAGTCCCTTACAGAGCCCGCAGCTAAACCCTAACGCAGACATATTTATTAATATAAGTTAAATAATTTAAAACTTCAATGATGATTTTTTAAATGTAATATTCCTTTGTTACGTGTGTTAAATATTTTTCTGGGATGAATATTTTTAGATTAATTCGTTACATGAATCTCCTTTTGTTTCGTTAATATATAGAGCTTATTAAAATGTCAGACACTGACTCGGACGAACACGAAGACGATAATGGACTACCGAAAGTTGGCGTAAGTTTATCTTAAAAAAATTATGTCCCAGTTAGTTGTCACATGAATAATTTAGGACAAACTGTTGTTGAATTTATATATATATTTAAAAAATAACTTGTTGAATATTACACTTTCTTTTAAAAATGTTATTCACACATTTTGAAAACGAGCATATAGGCTAACTAAATTTTTACAATTAATATTGGTATTTGTAGCATTAACTCCTAAGATGAACTGAGGATGTTGTGTATCGTACTAAATAAGTTGAAATTATTTAATGTATACCACCTAAAACTTATCTAAGGCTTACGAGTGAACATTATAGTTAGGTTTGTAAGTTTTTGTTTGTTGTAGTACGTAAAAACGTTGGTAAAATATCTTCAGGGTCATGGGAGTATTTTTTGTATTGGAGGGGGGGGGTACTAAATATTCCTAGTTTATAACATTTCGTGACCCATAAAACAGTCAGTAGTAGGGTGGGTTTATAAATCAACACGAATTATTAATGTCTTGTTTCAGTAGGATGAAGCTTAACGCGTACTATTATATGTGTTTAAGCCAGCCAAATATTATGCTACCATTTATACTATTTTTTTGGCTTTAAAATACTAATACAGGAATAATAATGTTTAATTATATGTTTTACTTAACCTCTTGTTTAGAAATTATTGGGAAGCACGTGCTCTTTGCCTCACCCCCCCTCAAACTCCTTCTCCCGTGATGTTATATATCTCAAAAATACATTTTTGAAGTTTTACTACTATATGGCTAGGTGAAATTATTATTATTTCTAAAAATATTACATTCATAATTATGGGAAATTTTATAAATTTCTCCATCATCTTACATTATTTAAGTTGCTGAACGAAAAAAAAAGAATGATGTCATCAGAAGCAAAAGAATATATTCCATTTTAAGTTACAAGGTAACAACACATCACCTTAAACCATGACTGCTCATGTCACATTTGATGTTTTTTACATATACACTGACAGCCCGATTTAATCATGTTGTATAGCATTTGGTCTATTTCATCACCAGTGGCTATAATTCTTTTATATCTAATCGTATCATGCAGTGAACGTTACAAAATGTGCCCTTTGGCAGCTAGTAGCCATTCTGAAAATCGCTTATCTCATTATTAAATAGCGCTGTTAGAGAATAAACTATGTATAAAGAATGAGTGGAAGCATGTGATGTTATCTATTAAGTCCCGTTTTACCTTTTCTGTGCTGATGGTATAAAAGAATATGGAGGAAATCACAAGGGACTTTTGATGTTGTTTGCGTTGTTTCGATAGTCTAAAGCTACTAGATGTTTCGAAGTGGCCAGAAAAGATTTTACAGTAGAGTCTGGGCACTTGGATTTCTTTAAAAGGACGATAACCATCCAGAGTGTACCCAAACGATGTGTCTGCTTCTTATTCACTCTAATGGATAAGGGATCCTCCTACATGATAATTTAGCAATCTACGATATCTTACGAAAATGGTTGGAAGTAGTACATTGCAGTCACTTCAGACATCTTTCTTAGTTATAACAATCATTAGATGTCAACCCAATTGAACATCTATAGGATAGCCTTGAGCGTTGTAATCTCCAACATAATCCCAATACGTTAAAACTGCTTACAATTCGTACTTCTCAACGAATAGGCTACGATCGAACAAGACATCATCAAGTATCTTATATAGTCCTCACTGATTCCACCTAATAAACGTGACAAATTAGTGTATAAGTGAATGAAAAATGTCATTACAAATCTTACTTCAGAAAAGTATATCAAATGTAAGCATAAAGTATAATTTAATGATGTTAGAAATGTGGCATTTACCTTTTAGTATTCGTGTATGTAAACCCCAGGATGCGTGACTTAAGACCTGTAAAGCTTAACTGTATCCTTTTGACGCATATTATCATAGACAAAATAAAGTTGAGTTTATTTTCCACAAGGAACACTAACGTGTGGGCTACTCAGTGGCTCAGCGGTAAGTCTGAAAGCTTATAACAATACAAACCGGATTTCGATACTGGTGGTGAGAACAGCACAGTTAGCCCATTGTGTAGCTTTGTGCTTTACAACAAAATAAACAGACTAAAGTTTGATTCGTGTTGTATTCTAAACATTTGCATGTTATATAATTTAGAAGTACTCTCCAGAGGGAGGGCAACCAACCAACCAATAACGCTCACCATCTTATGCGGCTGTTCTTAACCGAATAGCGAAATTGACTATCACAGGTATAACCTTCCTCACAGTTGAAAGTGCATTGCACACCTAGCGGTATATTCAAGCACACTGCTTGAATTACGATGTGAAACCGAAAACTCGCACGCTAATAACTGGGTCACGGCCATCCCCATTTTACTCAGAATGACTGTCTTTGACAAATAATGTGTTTTATCACATCCAACTTTAGACTTACGAAGGCGAAAGAAATGAATGTGAGGAACGTCATGGTTTTGGAAGTGCTATTCTTCCAAACGGAGATTCTTACAAGGGTTATTACATCAACGGTAAAAGGCAAGGAGAAGGGACCTACCGTTTCAAAAATGGCGCACGTTATATCGGTAAATGGCAGATGGGGAAGAAACATGGAAAAGGGCTGTTTATATATCCAGATGGCTCCAAATACGAAGGTAAGGATAATCCATAGTAAAAATTAAAGTTAAGAATGAAGAAATAAACGTTCTATAGTTAACATACAGTAATGAACAGTTCCGATCTTGATTGTCTGCTAAAAACTTTACTAGTCTTATTCATAAGTGTTTACTTTTTTTTTTCTAAATGTATACCCATTAACAAAGTTTTTTTATCGTCTAGAAATTTTAGTTAGACAACATTTAGATCGTTGCAGTAATCACTGCGATAAAATATAGAAATAATATTACATTATACATATCACTTACAGGAACTACATTAGCATTTTTAGAAATATTAATTTGTTATTTTACTGTTTTGCACATTTGAGGTTCTGATAGATTTGTAACAAAATACATCAAACAGCCATGGCCAAAAATCATGGTAATAATTTATAAAACAAGAATTTAATACAGGAACACTCTATTTTAATTTTAAATATAATGCCTGTTAATTTCTGAACAGTTTTATAGTCAAGCCGACGCCAAATATGTATTTGTATTTCTGTTAAAGCTGCTAAGGTTAATTGACGCCATCCCTAATATTGAGCTACTGACCAGAGGGAAAGCGTATCCTATCACCCATTATCCAACCTATGATACGGTGTGTCGTTCGTATAATGCACCCACATCTTAAAGTGCCTGGAATATTTTATGGTTTACGCGCGAATCTACCACAGAGCCAACATGTGTCCTCCTCCTCCCCCAAATATGAACCGTCCAAGGATTTTTCTATGTTTTATGAAATTTTCTTTGCACTTCGAGAACTGAATATATAGTTTAATTCATATATAATCCCGAAATATTTTATATTCAAGTGAAGTTTTTAAGTGCGTTTGATAACATATGTTGTTACTTTTGGCGCTTACATGTATCTAATGAACATAAACATTAACTGTTACTATGTTGTCTGATTTATTTTCTGTTTTTAATTTAATCGTTGAGGTAAAAATAATAATAACAAGTTTTTCTATAAGTGTGCACAGCGTGTTTTGCTTTCATTTTTATTATTATTATACTTTCATTATAAAGATTTGTTTGGAATTATTAGCTCAACATATATATATATAGGACTAATTTTACTCTCATCGGAAGTTAGTATGAATTTCCTTTCAAGTGAAGTATATTCTCCTCAACTAAACAGCTATGAATTTGTTCTTATATATGTTAATATATAGGTGAGTGGTACGAAGACAAAAGACAAGGTTACGGTGTGTATACCTACTTTAATGGCGACATTTATAAAGGCCAGTGGAATAACCACCAAAGAAATGGTCTTGGTATCTATATTTACTTTAGTGGTGGAGTGGTGCTTCGAGGAACTTGGGTTGATGGGCAAACTTTTGATGATGTCGAGCTTTTTTATTCCAATTGTAGTTTTTTTGGAAAAATGAAGGAAGGCATGGTAAGGTTTAACTCTTAGCGGATCTTCTATTCGTTTGATTGGTCCATCACTATCGAAAAGCTAATATTTTTTGGTTTACTTGTCATTATCTCAATTCATAGTTATCATAAAATGGTAAAATAATTCGTAAACGTCATTGATCATCGTATAAAACAAAAGTACTTATACACTTTTAAATATGCTTAATTAATG